GATCGATTCTAGGCTCTAGCTTCGAGAGGTCCCCAAAAGAAACCTCCCAGTCACTAACGAATGGATGAATCCGCAAATTCCTCACGACCGAACTCTGTGAAGAATTTGAAACTTTCCACGAAAAATCTACACGATCTCCGAGTAAAAAGGAAGGACGAAGAACAGTGGTACCATTCTACTTCAGAAGCAGTACATTTGCCACATGAACGCTCAACTGGTAGATAGCTTAGTGGTCACAAAGCTAGCCACTGATCTCATCATGCCGCGTCGTATCTTCACAGACTTCACAATCAATTTCCTTTTACACTACAAATAAGCCCTTGATCTTTATAAATCACTTCCTACCAAATACCATGCAGAACCGTATAACGCTGACAATCCGCTTCCATTGGGCATTTCTATGAATGGATCTGCGTCAATAGATGCCCGCAACGCTGTTTCGGCTAATTCCAGCGGAAACGTGCGCAATAAGAGGCGACAGAAATAGAAGCGCGCAAACATTCGCGGTCCTCGAGCCGCCAAAATCGCAAGAATGACGGGAATGCTGTACGACAATAAATAGAATAGCTCCCATTCTCTAGCACAAAAAGGGTAAAAACAAATAGGCTGAACATAAACGCACTTGCACCAATGATCTGTACAGGGGTGCTGATCAGAATCGGCTCTGGGAAGTAATGGCCGGTATGTAGAAGAATCAACTTCTCACGTTCCGGTTCGGCATCGAGAAATCTACAACACTCGCATGGAAAATAGAACATTTCGACTGATTCATGGAAAGAACTTACTGAAGTGCTTGGGTTAGAGTTTCGAAGTGTGGAATGCTTCTCCCAATGTGGCCTTCGTAAATATGGGCGTATCGGGGCCGCACATGGATGGCATGCCGCTGAATATAGAATAATATGATTGAAAAAATATAAGAATGCTAGCAAATTTAACACTTACCAACTGTCGAAAGCTCTCCTTCCACGGGTTCAAGGTGCCTCGCCACTTGTGTGGTTCTCTCAATTCGAATTTTCCATGTGTAGGATGATACATAGGTATCGTGTATTCGAATGCGCCTTGGTATAATGTTTTCCTTAATACAGATCATATTAAAGAAAAATTAAGCATTTCGAAACAATAAAAACGCAAATCGCTCATGAAATTACCATAAATTAACATCATTGGATATCCGATAAAACCTTCCAGACACTCCTGCGCACCGAGCCAAGTCTGTTTCATACAAATTCGAAAAAACCTATAAGCAAAAATGTTTAAATGATTAAGTTCAAATGTATAATAGTATGGACCTGAAATCAAATCGCGAATACCTTAAGAACTATTTCATCGGGTAAGCGATCGACGTAGCACGAGCCATCAGATGGAGGTTCCAAATAGTCCGTAGTAATGCTACTACAATAAGCAATTTCAGAACGGCAGTATAACGCAGTCATGTTATTGAGGCCGTTAAACAATGAACTGACAATTGTCAAAGGACATTGTTCCATAAATGTAATAAAAAAGGATGCTGCAAGCCAAATAGTTCGAACATTATTTGACAGATATAAATATTCAGACTATGCAAGAACTCCATAGAATAACGAAAAAAATGTAGCAATTCAAGAGTTGTTCCTTACTTCTTTCGAGCTTCTCCGGGCGACTCAGGCTTGAACCTTTTACATGGTTGTACCGTCTGAAACAGAGAAGTCGCATAACAATGCTCATGTAAGGATCAATTTTTCTACCAGATTGGAGAAATTATCTAACAGACTCCCTCACCTTTTAAAAATATTGTATTTTAATAGATCCTAAGCAAATTGTGCGGTTGCGATTTACCTCTCCCCTATCAAAACAATACTGCACTCAGCAATCATCTTTCCTTCACGTTCATCGGGTGCCCGAGTGCGTACTCGAGGCCCTCGATGAGGATGACACTTCAAGGTCGAACGCCGAGGATCGATGATTGTTGGAAACTGATTGATGGTGTGGAACATAGTAACCATGGATCTCCCGAACTCTTGTTTCTTCCCAAAGGCTTATAAGATCACGCGAACCAATGAGTAGTGTAACGTATGTGGATGCCGTCCATACCAATAGAGAAGAAATTTATGGGCTCCCAACCGGTGAAAACAAGGCAGCTGTGAGATTTTGTGGAAGAAAAAAGTACTGCGAGTTTATGGATCAGTGCATCTAATCGGCAACCAAATCCGCTTGTGAAAACGACCAACGGGATGGAGTAGAACGAAAAAGACATCACAACAAAAGGGAAAAGAAATCAAACCTCGTCCGCGGTAGCCGCTAAGCTACTCGTTGCGCAACCCTCCTCATCTTTTTGTTGAATGGAGCGACGCCGTCTTAAAGCATATCTGGAACTAAAATAGTCTTTTATCAGAATGTAATTAGTAGGAACTTCGCAACATGCAAAGAAAAAAGTTAGAAAAAACTGCATGCGAATTTAGTTTACCCACCTCCGCAAACACATGCCACCGCCTTCTTGTTGAGACGGTGTCGCGGCGCGACCGACACATTCGTCAGCAGGCGACAATCCGTCTGCCATTTGCTGTCGCGGCGACGCTGGCGACGATTGCGACTTGCGACGTATTGAGGACGACGATTGTGATTCTGAGGTGACGACAGCCAATTCGCTTTTCTGTGGCCCCTCCTTCAAACCGCTTGTGCCTAACGATCCCCCTCGCTGACGTAGCACTGAAAATTCAGAGATCATCCACAGTGTGAATACCACAGCTGGTTGAACAGACTCAGCGTAGGTCACAGAAAATGGAACAAGCGTAATTCTAGCTGAAAGAAAACAAACGCATCTATCTCTTACGTTTTCACCTCCTTAGTCCTACTGTCCTAGAACCACCACTTTCCCAGAATATGATTGGAAATACCAACTAAGGGGCAATCTCAAGAAACGGTCGTTTTAACCTGAGTGGGTTACCATGCGCAGATTGTGTTTCATCGGTCCAAACATGACAACTTTCAAGGTAGCCTACTCTCGAAGAGCTCTGGCTTTGAATGCATGCAAAGCCACGACATTAATGAGTCAATAAATATTAGTTTTCTTCTGCGTTATCACATGTAAATATGGAAGCAAATGGGGAGCACTGAACCGCGAGCTGGGCTCAAGGAAAGATCGATATGTTTCTGCACATTTTAGCTTTGAGCCTAACTGTGAACTTAGAAGTCACCAATTTTGAAGCCCTTTTACATCTGTGTATGTGTCTTCATACACTTCAATAAACCTTCCGAGAGGGCCCAAATTTCCTACATATGCTGCTATTCCAATTTGCGAAACCTTTGAGCAAACCGTCGACAGAATGTGAAACTTCTCTCTCAAAATACTCTGTCGTTTATGGCAGAGTCATTGCCTGAACCTTTTAATCCAACAATGGATGGAACCAGACGTTAAGGAAAATCAATAAGAATACGGGCCAGTCAACATGCTTCTGCTTAAGGGACGCAACCCTTCTACTTCGCTATTTCTGTAAACTGAATGATATATAAGCACCATCAAATAAAATAGGTGAAATTGCCGGTACAAATACGCGTAAAGGAGCGACACGATGACATATGGGATACGAGAAGCGGCATAACGACTCTACGCCTTGATTAAACGAAAGATTCGAGTGCTGATCTCTTATCTTTCCTTTTCACCAAGGTTTTGAAATATAACCAAGTCTTATGGACCTATTTAACGGAGAAGAATGGAGGAAAGCAAAAACCACAACGAATTACATGGATAGAAAAACAACGAGCTGAACATGTCGCAGCGAGATCGGAATAGTCAGTGTTCCACATCAATACAGCTTTCCACTACTTTTGAAATCCTTTGTCTACCGTCCCTTTACTTCAGAGCACTTAGGATATCCCTCCCGTATATGCCCTTGCTTATGAAGCTGGTCATGAAGACAAGGTACTTGCGAGCTAATCAGTCAGTTCAAGGTCGTCCGAACTGAAACTTTTGCAGAAACATTTCTCAGCGAACAAGTGAAAATGGTAAACCCAACTGTGCACTACATAATTCATAGAAAAAATAACTGCTACACAGCCTTGAGAATGCATGACATTTCGTTGTAGCACACATTTAGCACGTGTTTCCAACCCTTTGCTGCTAGTTACGAAGTAACGCTCTCGGTGAGCAATGCCATGTAAAATTTTGAAAACATACAACAGAATATTAGTCAAGAAATAAGGCGAGAAAGGAACACTAGCCGAATAATCTGCGCCGAAGCGGCCAGGCGAAAATGCTCGACCAGGATGTGGCCGCACATATCGATTCCATTCATTTGCCGCTAAGCAAGAAGAAGTACCCTTCAAGATCATTTGAGTAAAATATCCGCTGAGTTAGAAATCAATGGGGTAAGAAACATTGAGAATTTGGGAAGACTATTCAAAATGAAGGAAGAACACCAAAAGGAATTCAGTCACAAGGTGACACATAACCAGCAAGCCAGGAACTGAGTCACGATGAAAAGCAAAGCGACGATGGTTGCTGGGTGACTTCCTTCAAGAATGAGGACCTGCCAGCTGAGGCTCATCATCGATTCCTTTTCTTACTTAGGCCATGTGGTGCAGTACGCTGTGCACATCATTAATTGCAGGCTAAAACCGATAACGTTAGTCGGACAACATCTCGAAGTGAAGTCAAGTAGTTTACTTCGCGGGATGTTGGAGAATCATAAAAGTGGATGGAAAAGCGTTGCAGCGTAGAATCGCAGCCGATACGTGAATCAGGAAGTAAAGCAGCGATTACTGTTGTTGCAAGTGCAAATGAAGAGTAAATGGATGGGCTCATAGGTGTGGATGATGAAGGAAATGACCACCCATAGCAGCAGCACGTCTTGGCCTCAAATTCGTTAATCGACGGGGCAAACTTCGTGACGGTCTGTGCGCGTGTGTGTCTGCGTGCGGGTGAGCGCCGCCGAATCTAGACCAAGTGGGGTTCGACGATTGATCGATCGCCAAGCGACGAAACACGCTCGGAGACCCACCAATGGCGATCGATACATGTCCGGAATCGAGCCCAGCACGATCAATGAGGCGATGAGCCTTTGAAGGCCGTTGTGGATCGAGTTAAGAGCAAAATCTGATACGAGCCAACAATGATATACGAGGACAAACTAGCACTACGCTGACGACTTCCACCATGCGGACACTGCCTGCCACCGCTCTATTGACACCGATTCATGGCGTCAGCCAACGACTTTGTAGGCCGCAATCATCGCTTCAAGAAATGTTTCCATATGAGCATTCTTTGGTGATTTATTGGAAACCAATACACTCACACCAATGACGGATACTTGTATTGATTCTGCACAAAATATTCATTCTTCACACGTAAGTCTTCGACCTTGAGGTAGACACGCATTTAAAAATAGGAACACGATTTACGCCACAACTCAGCCCAAATTCACCTCGGTATTTCAAGCACATACAAATATGAAAGTCCATTGGCCAGTGGGAAATCGAAGGGAAACGAAAGCTCTATGGGCCTGCAGATTTAGTCCATTGATTTAACCAAAGACGGTAGCGCTTATTGCCACAAGACCACCTCCAGCAAACGATAAGGCTTAGAAACCTCATAGGCCCACAAGAACGAGGAGGCTAGCAAAAAGAATCTCTTGGTCACAAATCAGACCAATACTCTAGTATCGAATGAAACTTTACAATATGGCCGTTTTGCTAATACTTTGCTTTATGTAATCCTACCATACTTTCTGTAGATAACAAATAAAAGTATAGAACAAAAATAGAATGCTATAATTTTCAAATGTTAGGCTGGACATTCCAGCCAGCGCGGTCGGATTGTGGACGCTAACGTGTTGGAGAACTATCGAAGTGTATCGACGCCAGCAGAGATTAACAAGTAGCACGACCACAGCGCTAAACCTCCTATGAGTCTGTCCTGTTTCACGTCGAGAAATGGAAACTAGTTGGAGTGATTATCAAGATATCGGTTGAACAAATGTTTCCAGATTTAGTACGAAAAAAATGATAATGATGACAAAGTGAAGGTAGTTTGGATTAACCCTCTAAGTTTACACCCACACCATTTCAACCAATTTTGACAGCCACTGCTCGCCAAGAGCTTTCAGGAAATTATTCCAGAGAAACTTTTCATTATTTTACAGCAAAAGAAAGGAACATAGCTCAACTTTGAACGGATCAGCCTGCTCGGGAATGGTACGAATCAACAAATAGCAACTCTTTGTATCGAGCTTGAAAAGCGCTAACAACGAACGTGAGAATTTCGGAGCAATATTTGCATGACCCCGTTGCGACGCGAGAAGTCGTTAATGAGTACCGAGATGCCGCACGTGCCGCTCACCGTGTGAGGGTCAATCGCTGACGGGAGGACGCGGTGGATTGACCTGAAACCACAATAAGACGCCAGTCTGAGGACACAGCCAAGCCTAGCAACACATGCGCCGCTCGAGTGCTATGGGTCTATAGCGTGCCGGGGAACGCAGGGCGCATGGAAACACTGTAAATGCTGAACAGCAGGGCGCATGGAAACACTGTAAAGGCTGAACACTGGTTTACACCACACCTGTAAACAAACGTCAAGATTCTTTCAGGTTTCGTACAAGATGCGCCACAGGTCACTCAGTCAGTGTTACAACACAGCTATTAGTAAGGAGCGTCTGCATACTTAATTTCGTGTTCAGGCCAATTTAGAATTCAACTGATGTCACTTCACTCGAGCCATGCAAAATTAATATCCTATCGAACAGATTACCATAGAGGAAGCTCTGTTCGAAACCTGAACACCAATTGAATGTAGGGCCATAAATTTGTAGATTCGTCGCACATCATGCAAAAAGTGGCCCACCAGGAAAGTCGCACTTGCACTTTGTCATGAGTCCATCGAGCGTAAATTTAAATCACCACAGAGAATGATCAACCCTATTTCTCAGGTGACCTTCAGCCAGCTTAATTCCTTTCTGGAATCAACTGATGGTATTAATGGAGCAACTTATGGTAAGGTCTCGTTTCAAAAAAAATCTACTGTAAAAGCACACTCTTTGAGAAAACCTTCGCACAGCGAGAAGCACAACCTTTCCAGAAAAAACGCGGGCACTCATCCAGTAAGGGGGGCATTGAGATTTAGGGCATTTAAAACCACGGAAAGCGTATTGCTCTGTTGTAAACGTTCAGGACTAAGCCTTAGAAGGGAAGGAGCCCCGGGTCCGTGAGCAATCTTGGTTTTCCCCGGGGGACTTCCTCCCCCTTCTTAGGCTTAGTCCTGACCTGCTGACTAGGTGAATACTACTTTTCGTAGACGTTACGGGTGCTAGCTTAGTTAAGGGGGGGGGGGGCACTGTATTTCGAAACTGCGTCGCGGCGGCGATGGAAACGGCCCCTCAGACTAAGCCTTGGAGAGCACAGACGAACAGACGCCACTCCGCCGCGTGGCCCCCCTCAACTACGCTAGCACCCGTTAATGTCATCCAGTATAAGAACACATACATTACATAAAACACTTGAAGAAATAACATAGGAAAAAAGCTGATAGCAGCTCGTAACTTTAAAGGACTCCTTGAGCCAAATTGGCATTAGAGCAGACCGTGCACCGCAATGCCCCCCCCTTACCGGATGAGCGCCAAAACACGTTGAAAATATGCTTATCCTTAAGGCAACAATTCCGAATCGCCCCAGCTAACTGCAAATGCAAATGAAGAAAGAAACAAAGAAACCGCAAGCGAAGCTCTAAACAAA